TTTATTTTACCTATGGAATAAATAATCTTTGACTTTGACTTTGACTTGCAAATTAACTGCGAAACTTGCATCATATGAGAATTGTTTGTAACATTTTAGATGGCACACTTGTATTACACTGGAAACACGTAGAAAATTGATTGATCTGACCTTTATCAAAAGAATTGTCTCAGGCATTATCGATTGCCCTGGTCTGCTCTCTAAAATAGAATTCCTTATCCCGCGACAATTGCCGAGATCTGGTAGTAATAGGCTCTTCCATAGGCCAAGATGTCGCACAAATTTGAGGCTGCATTGTTTCTTATCACGAGGAATAACACTGTATATCAGAGTGAAATTGATCTAAATTGTACTTCCGTTTCTAGGATAAAGAAAGTGATGTGATTAGTTTGTAGTTAAGTTTATAATGATTATACTTTTGTATCGTCATGCCTAACCAAATATTATTCTTTTAGTTCATGTGTTTGAGTAATGGGACGCTTAGTTTAAAACCATAGTGTCTGTATACCTGCATAGTTATAGTGTACTCATGTTGTGTAAAAAAATCCACTCATTTATTCGAAGATTATATCGAAGCGATGGAGGAAGCGAGTTCTTGAGTGGAGACTACGGCGCGGTAAATGTAGAGTAGGACTCCCTCTGGCCAGATGTGTGAAAGCTTCCTGACAGTAGATGGATGTGACAATCTGAGGATCGGGCGAAATGGCGCTCATTGAGAGCGGCCCATGTCCAGCACTAGGCTGCGATAGGCTGATGATGACGAAAATGACCAAAACATTTCCGAATTTTCTGACAGCATTCACTTTATTAGCAGTAAAGATCCTCTCGTCATGGGAAGTACTGCCGTCTTATCCATTTCTGCCGCCAAGCGCCAAGTTGTAATGTCAGCATTACAGTATTCCAATTTTGGGATTGTCAACTTATGTCTCAGGGTGACGGGCGCAGTGGCAGTGCCCCTCAGATCTTTGCGATTCAAAGCTCTGAGTAGCACCGCAACTGTTATGGACAGGCGTATAGTTTACCATCAGGCGCACGATTAGTTTGTCCCGTCACTTGATATATAAAAAAGAAACTTTAATGGATGTAATTAAATTCAGATGGTCACGTTGGGTGCTGTCCCTGGCGATTCTCGCAGTGCTCATCTTCTTTCTGTACTGGGACACCAAGGATAAACCAGAGAGGCTCATCTCCCTGATTGGGCTTATACTAATTTTGTTGTTGGGTAAGTGATTGTTGATAGTTATAATACAGGATACTATATTAAAGGGCATTATGTTATTTGGCATTACAGATATGCGAAAAATTAAGAATTGACATAAAAGTTGAAACTAAATTCTAAATTCGCATAAATAGTTTGGCGTATTTATTTATACGCATAATTATTATGACACATAGGTAATGTAAAGCCCTAATAACCAGTGTTACTAATCAGGCTGCCCGATAATTTTGGCGGCCAAATTGGCAAACTACACAACGATCATAAACGAAAGATAATGTCAGTACAGAGTACTAAAAAAACCGACCTTTACAGTCATTCATCTCCTAGTTTGCCACCCTTAATGGTGGAATATTTTCTACAAATTTTATTGGAACCAACACTGAGGTATCTCTTTCTAACAAAAAACAATCACCATAATCGGTTCACAAACGAGTTATCGCGTAACATTCATATTAAAAAATCGAAGTCGAATAGAGAACCTCCTCCTTTTTTTTTGAAGTCGGTTAAATATTGTATTTATTTACTTACCACAAATGACAGCACAAATGAAAAAAAAAACGAAGAGAAAAAACACATAATCAAAGCATTGAAACGTAAAATATAAGTAAATAGTTACGAAACAAACTCACAAACAAAACAGAAAATTAAAATTAAAAAATATAAATGATAATGACTTCCTGTAATTACGTTACTAAATGCGTAAAACGAAATTCCGCCCAGGTTTCGTGTTCTCGTCACATCCCGGCCGTGTGCGCTGGCGCACCGTGCTGATGGGGTTGTTGATCCAGTTCCTCTTTGGCGTTATTTTTATCCGATGGGATCCTGGGAGGTTAGCACTACAGTGCTTTTCAGATAAGGTAAAAACTTATAATTATAAGTAAGTAGCAGTAGAGCTCCTTGTGATCTATCACAACTTTAGTTAGTCCAGGGTAGTACTGCCACCTTACCTATTTCTGCTGCCAAGCAGTAATGTCAGCATTACTGTTGCCGGTTTTGAAGGGCAAGGGTCCTGGTGAAATTATAGGCACATGAGATTTGTCAACTTACGTCTCAGGGTGACGGGCGCAGTGACAGTGCCTATAAGATCTTTGCGATTTAAAGCTCTGAGTGGCACTGCAACTGTTTTGGACAGGCGTGTAGCTTACCATCAGGCGCACGCCTTGTTCGTCCAGTCACTTGATATTATATAAAAAATATATAATAAAGGTGGAACACAAAGAAATTTTTTTTTAGTTAAAAATCAATATTACAAATCCTAAAACGACATCTCCTGTCAACCTCTTGCATATATCAAACTAAGTAGAGTGGTAATTTCGCAAAAAAACAAATCAGGGTAGTAAAACATAGTAGAAAACTTATTCTTGTGTTTAAATAAACAGTAAGTAATATACTGGTATTAACTTTAATATTGTAACAATCTTACATCTTGTACTCTTAGTCCTGGTTATAACATGAATTTATATATTTCATAAACTGGATCGCGCACTTCGATATACCAATATTACAAATTTACACCTCTTGGGTTATGTTAAGGTTTATTTTAAGTAAAAGTAAAAAACCGAGCCACGTGAGATAGCTCGAAGTAGTGGTCTGTCCTTGTCTAACAAGTTGCCAACGCTAAATAAAATCATCTAAGTAGTGTCCAGTCTATTAACTTTTTTAAATTTTGGTTAAATAAAATTAGCTTAAAGGTAATATGATTTTACTGTAATAATACAAAATATATATATCAACAACGAAACCTTCTATTATGAAGTAGCATATCAAATAAATATACTAATTTGTATTATGAAATAATATTAGTAGTTTTGGTCATCCACAAGCGGCCACATTTTCTGTAAAAATGAAAAAGTTAAAAACAATATGGCTGGCTGAAACATGAATAAACTCTCTATTAGAAAGAGACGCATTACTACTTCAAAGCCTCTCACTCGCCTCGTTATATTAACTTAAGTGCGCGGTCAAGGGTTTTAACCGCTTTTTCCCAGGCACTACTGGCTTTGTTCCCAGTGGCCAAAAATGGGAAAAAACCCATATGTTACCAGGTGGTGATAAAATGATGTTGTTGCCACTGGCGACAAATGGAATTTCAAACTTTCGGTATAAATTCAAGAAAAGCGAGCTGCTAATTTTCAAAGCGGGCGTGAAAATATATAACACTGTTCCACCTGTTATATACTCCGTCCAAAAATTTAATTAACTTTTGACAGCTGGAATTCTAATCCATTAGTGATATCCCAGTTTTGAAAAGAAGAAAGAAAAGAAGATATTGTCTGATTGAAATCGTGATGTTGCGTTTGACAATTTGTGTACTCTAGATTTAATAATTGATTTTTAATGAGGCTTCAAGTGATGATTCCTGTCTAAATGGAGAAGAATCCGACGATTCATTATAAGAAACAATAAGAATTTATTATAATTATTTACAATTTATTTCATTTCATTATAAGTTGTTAGACAGGTACCAACATTTATCAACTTGAATAATCTTCGTTATATAATTTGTTGGCTCGGTAAATATCGACCATGAACAGGATGCGTGGCAACGGTAACAGCCTTCTGAACACCATGTCGGAGGCTGTAACGTGTTTGATATTGTGCTATTAGACCAGGTTTCCTGTCGCCCAGAAGGGCTGGTGACAAGAATACCTATTGTTAATTTCTATTATTTATTTTTAATTATTTTCTGTCTATATCTGTATCTTAAATAAAAATTATTAGTATTAAAAAGTTATCTACTAATTTATTTCGTAGAATCTTCAAACCGCTCCCTTGAAAAGTTGTTTTTATTTTGCAGATATAGCTTTATTACACCAATGGTGAAATGTATGCACGGAATTTGTAACAGATGATATCGCACAGCTATTGCAATAGTGTTGTAACTCAAAATATGTGAAATTCAAAATTATGTTATTGCTGAACGCAAAACTTGAATCTTTACACGTCAAGACAACAGTCGCAACAATATTATGAGAAATAATAAAAAGATAGCTACTTAACTCGATATGAGACAAAGTTTTTGTGACCTAGTTCTGAATAAAACGGTTCTTACACAAAAATATGAAAATATGTTTTCCCTTTCATTTTCAAATATAGTTGACGAATTGTTTACATGTCTGTAATAGACTTTAACCTATACATACAATATTAATAATCTTTCCGGGGAAGTGAGTAATTTGTTTTTCATCGATTCTGAAAAAGTACACTTTTTGTGTTAATATACTATTATATATTAACAGTGCGAATAATCTTAGCCTTTGACAATAAATAAATAATCTCCCTTTTTAGGTGGCGACATTCCTATCGTATGGCACCGACGGCGCAGAGTTTGCCTTTGGCACGTTACTTGTGAGGACAGAGCAAGTATTTGCTTTCAGTGTAAGTTCACAAGGTTAATTTGTTCTTAAATAACTTTTCTATTTAAAACAAACCGACCTCAGAAGATCGTGGAATTACATCTATTTGCCAAGTTTTATTGTAATCGGTTATCGGAAAGTGCTCGAAACAGGATTCATCCCCTAGTTTGCGGTAGCAAACTTAAGCACAACTCACACTGGCGCGGAGTCGAAGCGTGGCGACGCGTCATGTTTTTCGCCTATAGCATATTCATCTCTATTTTACGATTATTAAGGCACAAATTTGTGTTGTGCAAATAAGTGCGCCGACGCTTGGTTAAGAGGGAGGGGGAGCATGCCAAAAAAGTTTTGACGTTGGCACCGCCCACATTTGTGAGATATATATATATATATAATATATCCTGAAGTTCGCGTGACATGCGCCAGGAGATGTTGAATTTTGCGCATTAAAAATACCAAATTCGTTTCAGCGGAATAACTCTAAAACTAAAGGGATTAAAAAAAATCCGTAGTGACAGTTGTCGATCATACATAAATATAATTAATTATCTAATTTTTGTCCTAATAACCTGTAGCATTTCGAGGATGAATCGAAAAAATGTGAAAATTAGAGGTCATTTCGTGATTTTTATCTATCGAGGAAACTTTATTGTTTTATGTTTCTACTAATGTCTATGCTTGAATATATCGTGTAGTTTACTCTTACAATATTTTATTTTTAACTTTAAAGTGGATATACCCCTCTAAAATCAAATCGAAGATTAGGAATTTTTCCTCTGCTCCCTCTTAAAGTCAAGCGGTTTTGCGCGTCGCTGTGCGTCAAAATGCGTCACTTGCGCACGTGAAGCGTCTGACACGACCAAACTGTGATCCGGGCGCGCTAATGCGAGCGTCGTCGCGCGACCGTGTTGTTGACGTAGTTGAAAAACAGGACGCGATGCGACGCTTTGACTTTGCGCCAGTGTGAGTTGAGCCTTAGAGGTGGAATATTTTCTGAAAAATTTTAATAGGACCAATACTGAAGTACCCTCTTTCCAATAAAAAAATAATCATCGAAATCGGTTCACAAATGCCTACCAAACAGATCTTAAAAGTATTAGATAGTATAAACACAGAATACTGAACAGTTAGTACGTGACAGATACATCACTCTCATACAAAATCGAAAACACCTACGCTATAATAGCCTACGAAATCTGACTCATGACACCAGGCGCTTACTATGTACAAAAAGGAACCGAAACACGCGCTCGCAGAGGTGAAAATAACGTTGCCCGTTGCGTGCAGTCGTGCGGAACCGAATGCGCTAGGGTTATCTGAGCGCTTGCACTGCCGGCGATACACTCAGCGGTAGGCACTTATCGCGTAACCTCGAGCAAATGACGTGAATAATACCCTGTACTGTGAGCACAGAGCTACGGAATTCACTCTGGGGCCCTGCCCAGAACATCCAGACCAAAACCAATTTTACAAAAGTTAATTTCCCAAATTAGTCCTGCCAGGACTTTCTTGTCTAGAAGAAGTCCCGGATTCGATATTCAATTCATCAAAACATAATTTTTATAAAAAAAACGACCGCAATTTTTGCCAAATATATCCTATTTGCCATGTTTTATTGAAATCGGTTACCAGAAAGTGCACGAACCGCATTCATCCCTCAGTTTGCCAATCTTAGAAGTGAAATATTTTCATCAAAAGGAACCAATATTGAGGTTCCAACAAAAAAGAATCATCAAAATCGGTCCACAAAAGCCGGAATAATCGCGTAACACACAGACAAAAAACTTGAGATCTTCCTCCTTTTTTGAAGTCGGTTAAAAAGTAAAAAATCTTCGCTCTAAATCGACAGTGGAAATTTGAAATGTGGTAAGGAATATTTTGTCGTAATGGAAAATGTTCCTTACTACAACGTAAAGGTCCTTTTCCCTTACGACAAAATGTCCCTTACGACATTTCAAATTTCTACCACCGATATGTAATAAATGTGATCAATATATTAATTTTTGTTCCCCAGTCACTTCCAGTAATCTTCTTCTTCAGCATGCTGGTAGAAGTTCTGTTCTTCTGGGGCGCCCTTCAGTGGTTCTGCCTAACATTAGGACGTCTATTGAGAAGCGCTACTTCCACCACAGTGTGTGAGAGTGTCATCTGCATTGGCAATGTATTTTTAGGGATGGTGAGCTTTTGAAACATTTATTTACAAATATTACTCGATTGTTGAGCACAGAATCGACACCTCCAACTACTGCAACTACGCCAACGTTATTTTTTGGACATTTTCTGTTATTTTTCTAAACCGCCATATTTATTAATTAATATTATGCACCCCGAATTTTATGGAAAAAAAAAGAAACAAAAAGCAAAATATAAACAGAACAGGACCCCGATTCAGAACTCTTCGATATTTTAACTAAATCGTACAGTTAGATAACGTTCTCGAATCGAAGGGCATTTTCCGAGCTATTAAACGTTCGATTAGTATTCAAATACGATATCGTTATCCAACAGCGTTTACGGAGTTAGTCGGTGATATAGATTATAAGAAAAATGAAAATCATTTTAATAAATGTTGGCCTAATATATAGAAATGCATTAAGTCTTGCATTAAAATAAATTAATGCAATTGAACAAAATCCACACTTTATTTAAAATAATAAGAGATTTCCATACTACATTCTTGCTTTGGAAACAATAGGACGTTCGGTAACTTTCATTCGATAACTATGTTCTGAATAATGTTTGTAGCCCTTGCCGGTCGAGAAGTTCGAGTAATTGTACGGGTGTGACGTCATTTCGGTTCCGTTTCGAATACGACAGTTTGACGTTCGATTCGGGTGTTGGGAATAAAAATGAAAAACAACTGAGTTATCGTAGGGTTCTGAATGGACCCCCAGGTCCAAAAAATAAATTGACGTAGTGTTCATTTGAATAATCGAGATGTTATACCATTGGTATAAGAAAACCACAAATGTGATCATATGCAAAGTGTTTTTGTCACATGAAAATGCAAAACGCAAAACAGAAAGCTCCGTGAGTGTACTTTTAGGGGACAATTTCCGCATTAGCTATGTAATGTCTTTTTATAATTACCATAAGAAATATTCCTTCGATCCGGCCGGATTCGAACCAGCGTCTTCGGCATACGCTCTCCTAGCTACGGAACAAACCAGCAGCTTTTACGAAATTTTCCATGTACTTACTTGTTACAGATCTTTAACGATTTTTTTGGCGTAGATCTGTGAGAAATCTATGAAACTTTTTCTTCACTCAGCCAAAAAACCTGTAAAAAACCAAGGAAAAAGATCTGCGACAAGCATAGAAATATTCAGATGACCGAATTATGTGGATGATCTACTCTCGAAGTCCGTCTACAGGGTTTTTTTAAATTAAATGTAAGCGCGCATTTCACCTCCATCTCACTCTCGCCTTGAAAAGGCCCAAGTTATAACGTTCAGGGAAGAAGTCTGCAGGCAGGGAATTCCACTCCATACCCATCATTTTTAGGTCTAGCTGCGATCGACACTCAAGTCTGTAGTAGTGTTGCAAAAAACTCGAGTTCGGGAGTCTACATTTACGAGCTCGACTCAATTTTGCATAGCTCGGCCTACAGCACTCTTGAGTCAGCATTGAGTCATCAGAGCACGAACTCGAGTCTAAAAAGAACTCGAGTTGTAAACTAATACGAGTTTTGAACAAAACTCGACTCGAAAGGACTTCTACTCGGCAAAGTTTCGAGTACGACGAACAGGGTGCAATTTTATTGAACAACTACTTATTGCCCACGAATTAAATAAAAAACAAAAACCCAATATGGTGATTTTAAAAAACAAGATATGAATCCTTAATTATACTACAGTAATTATACTAATTACACTAATTATACTACAGTTTAACATACCACCCCGCTACACCGCTCAGTAGGTACTTAACCAGTCTCCAGTGCAACTCGTTACATAAATACTGCCTCTGTGGCCGAACGGTTGCCATGCTGGCCTGCCACGCAGAGGTCTGGGGTTCGATCCCCGGACTTGGAGAAATATTTGTATGGCCTACATTTATTTCTCTCGTGAGTTTGGATGTAATTGCAAGAGTCAGTGCATAAGAAATCCAGTCTTGTCGAGAGTTCATGGTAAGTCGTTTGAATTTGACACTTAAGGCAGTCTCCGATTGGGGCGATGCCAATCTTGTCAGATTTAATGCTACCAAAACTCAGGCGTTTCTTTTCTCCACTAAACGGAATCACTTTCACCTGACTCCGACTTTTCATGATATATCCATACCGATAGCCGACCGTCTTCACATAGTGGGAATAGACGTGTCGTCCAATCTGAACTTCGGCACATATATTGAATCCATGGCCAAAAAGGATTCAATATAATATATATAATATAATAATAAGGATTCAGCCAGGAATACTCGGCATTCTTTCCAAGGTGAGGCGTTACTTCACAACGGGACAGTTGCTTGAGCTGTACCAAGCACAAGTCTGGTCGTGTATGGAGTACTGCTGCCACTTATGGGATGGCTCTGCTAAATACCAACTGGCCACCTTGGATTCAATAGACAAGCACGTTAAGAGGCTTATCGGTGAATCGGAATTAGTAGAGGTGAAGCTGCAGAGACTTGAACACCATCGTAGAGTTGCCAGCTTATCAGTATTCTACAGGATATATCACGGAGCGTGTGCGATGAAATGACATAATTTGATTCCGCGTTCCCCTTTCTATCATCGGGGGACTATACGTGGGCTGGGGTTCCACCCTTATGTTGTGGATATTCCAAGGGTTCGCACGAAACGTTTCGCTTCCACATTTGTATGGCGAGAGGCTGGAGAGTGGAATTCCCTGCCTGCAGACTTGTTCCCTGAACGCTATAACTTGGACCTTTTCAAGGCGAGAGTGAATAGGCGTTATTTAGGTGTGCATGCTACATCCTCGACTTCTTCGTCACTTTCTATCAGGTGAGATGGAGGTCAAATGCGCACTTATTTTTTATAAATAATAATAATAATTTGTGGTTGTATATGTGTGCGTCCATGGCACCCGCGATACAGGGTTTCCCTAGTGCGGGGCTATGAGTGTGTGCGCATTATTATTATTATTAAATAGATTCGAGCACTAATGTCGAGTCTATTCGAAAACTCGATAAGCTCGTAATATATCAAACAGTGGAGTATATGTCTTTATGAGTCGAGTCTTGTGAATTGGAGTCGAGTTCTAAAATCTCGAGTGTTTTACAACACTAGTCTGTAGGTCACCCATACGAAAACGGCCGTAACTATGGATTTGGGCGCGTGCCCATTATGTCGTAACGTTTTATTTATCGTTGGATGACTATCGCATCTAGTCTGTTCCCATATCACGACTATCTGTCGTGACTGTGTGGACGTTGATTTTATCGTTGAACAGCTGACGTGTCTAGCTATTTCCACTAGATCGTGACGACAATTTATCGGTTCACGGAAGGCGCCTTGTCGTTTGCACGACGGAATCGTTTGAAGCTACGATTATCTGTCGTCATATTTTTATCGTGACGTTTTATTTACTGTCGGACGACTGTCGTTCTAACTGTTCCCATTGTCACGACAGTCTATCGTCGTAACGTCAAAAAAGTTGTGAACGACAGTTAATAGTGTTGTACTAGATATGAACAACTTCACTTAAATATACAAGCCACGACACTTTAAACTGCACGACTATCTGTCGTCACGACATAATGGGAACGCGCCCTTACGCGCTTCGAAAGAATGGTCCCAGTTAAGACTGTGAATTATATAACAAATAGAAAAAAAAAATGTAAAATAAAAATGTCACCCTGTATTAATTTGCCTGTTCCAGTCGGAATCTATCTTGATGATCAGACCGTACATCGCGCTGCTTACTCCATCAGAAATACACGTTGTCATGGCCTCGGGTTTTGCTACTGTCTCGGGTAAGCATTTTCATCTTATTTTGTTTAGAAGACTCAATTGACATTACCACGAAACGAATTTTAGTAACGAAATCATACATAGTATGATTTTTTGTAATACCAAGTCACGGGTAAGCGACACACACGCCTATCCATAACAGTTGCAGTGCCACTCAGACATTTAAATCGCAAAAATCTCAGTGATGCTGCCACTTGGCCTTGAGACATAAGTTGACATAACATAAGTCCCATGTGCCTATAATTTCACCAGCACCCTTACCCTTCAAAACCCGAACACAATAATACTGGCATTACTGCTTGGCGGCGAAAATGTGTAAGGTGGCAGTAGGTGCGATTCAAAGCTCTGAGTGGTATTACCACTGTTATGGACAGGCGTGTAGCTTACTATTAGGCACACAACTTGTTGGTCCTGTTACTTGATATTATAAAAAAAAATAATAGGACCAGCATATGAGCTCGCTAATGAGAGTACCGATCGACCATCTGTCGACCTTCATGAAGGAGGTCTTTTGGACGGAGAGTGTTGTACAATATCGGTGATTCCGCGGCCGGTTACCTAACACCAGATTGCGCCACACGTCACCGGCAAGTGAAATTCGTGTAGATTACTTATTTAGGTTATTGTACTGTTATATTATATTGTATGTATGTCAGTCCTTAAGGTGTATTATCCGTCATAGCTCCTTGTGAAAGATTTCGTCCTGGGAAGTACCTACAGCCACCTTACCTATTTCTGCCGCCAAGCAGTAAGGTCAATATTAAAAATATGCATAGACAAAGAAGGATGGCGAAAGCTGACCCAATAATTATATAATCAATGAAGAGCCATTCATGGACTTTGATAGTATAATTTTACGTTTTAGTTTATGCCTAGTTATCAATGTATTTTTGTATATTTTTAGAAATCGGGAATAAAAAAATTGTAAAACAATGTATTTTAGAATAAATGCAAGAACATAACGCAATTGAGTCAGTTCGACCAGAGATTAGGTAACGTTCTTGTACTTACGTTTCATTTTAAGCATGATTGAACGTTTACCTACTTGAAATATGTATATTGGTTATTTTATAATACACACTTAAAACATTAAACCTTTATAATACCTAATCAAATAATCAATTAAATAGTAATGACATAAAGTAAAAAATAAAACACGATGTGACGAAAATGTTTACATAATATTTAAATGAGACAAAGTGACAAGAGGCCTCTTGCCAATGTCAGTGTCATAATTGAGAACAGTGTGACCATTTGTTTCAGATTGAATTTTTAATCATTTTCATTGCGGCAGAACGTGTTAACGTTGTGTTAAATACAGCAAAGTTTTCTGCTACTACGAACAAACATCTGAAGCGGGACAATGTTATAAACATAACGTAAATAAACTTTATTACCCCAGCTTCTTTAGGCTAAAATCAATTAGCTTTTCTGTTGCTTTGATAATGAATCACAAGTATTGATAAGCCTCTTTAATGCATGTCGTCAAAAACACTGGGACACAAAATACCCTGGATTCCCATCATTCTTTAATGTCCTCTGCATTGCCTTCCGCCAGGTTCCCCTGGCCCTTACACTTTAATGCAGGTATTTTTGTAGTAACCAGGGCAACATCAAAGTTAATTTTTAAATTAATAATATCTATGATTAAGCAATAGATAAGTAAACAATGATAGTACAAGTAAAATGATAGTAGTAAAATAAACCCGCTATCTTTATTAAAACGAATCGTGTTATTATTTTGATCGCAGATTACGAATAAAGATCATCGAAAAGAAATACAGAGTAAATATTAACAATAATACTTTTTTACAAAACAGTATTATCGTATAGATGTTTTTTTTTATGAGACCCAGTGACGGGACGAACATGTTGTGGGTTTGATGGTAAGCGACACGTATGTCCATAACAGTTACAGTGCCATTCAGAGCTTTAAGTCGCATAGATTCACTGCCACTACGCCCGCCATGCCATATTTATACGTAACGAGCATCCACTAAAACACTGAAGACGATACACATATTGATTTTAATCGAGAAAATCGTGTCCACTGTCTTGGATTAAGAAGTATTACCATTTTCGAATAGATAATGGTAAGGCTCAATTCACACTGGCGCAGAGTCGAAGCGTCGCGACGCGTCATGTTTTTCGCCTACAGCATATTCATCTCTATTTTCCCAATATTAAGGTACAAATTTGTGTTACGCAAATATGGAGTCAAGTGTCGATGCGCGTCGACGCCTGGTTGTGGTCGAGCGGCTTCGCGGGTCGACGCGCGTTATTTGAGCGCAGTGAGGCGTCAGACGCCGACCACACTGTGATCCAAGCGCACTAATGCAAGCGCCGTCGTGCGCCAGTGTGAGTTGAGCCTAAAAGCAAGCAGCTTGATTTTAGTCGGTCCGCCATTTTGCTTTTAACTCCAAACAAAAAACTTATGCGAGATGTGTTGATATGCAGTTTCTAACAGCACACGTAAAAGGCATATTATATTTAAATGATCATTTTAAATTTGCAAAAGCAGCAGGCAAAATAATCTAAACGGTCATCTTTTTTAATGATTTTTCCTTTTTCTCTGAGACTAAATAGAATAAATTAAATCAAAGGATACTTAAATATGTTCGCAAACAACGCAAAAAATGTTCGATTTGTATAAATTAACTTTGATAGTTTTATATCGCTTATTTGTCTTTAAACTAAGACAAATGAGCATTAGACATAAAATTTATATTTATTTTTAAAACAAAGTAAATGTTGATTGTATTTGTATACTAGTTTTTTTAAATTTATTTATATAATAACGCACACACTTAACATAGCCCCGCACTAGGGAAACCCTGTGTCGCGGGTGCTATGGACATACACACATAGATAACCATCATCGGGGGACTAGACGTGGGCTGGGATTCCACCCCTATGTTGTGGATATTCCTAGGATTCGGACGAAGCGGTTCGCTTCCACATTTATACAGCGAGCGGCTAGAGAGTCGAATTCCTTGTCTGCGGACGTACCTATTCCCCGAACGCTATGACTTCGACCTTTTCAAGGCGAGAGTGAATAGGCGTTATTTAGGTGCGCATGCTACAATGTCGACCTCATCATCACTTTCCATCAGGTGCACTTATTTTTCATAAAAAAATAATTTGACCTGAAAACATGTTCGGAAACGCATGCAAATTGGCTTCTGGCACTCGGCGGTCTCTACCGCAACACGCTCTTAGCTCGCTCGGCTCGTGATGCTTTTTCATTTACTAATCTAACCTAGCCTACTGAATAGATGGCACAACCAAGTAACCAAGGTTTATTAAGAGATCAATATTAAAAGCTATACTTACTGGTTATAAATATCATCGTTAAAATACCAATGATAACAAAGAGGATCAAATATTATTTTTGAATACCAATTATTAATTTAGTATGCTTAAACATAGTAATAGAGTTACCTTGAATGCAGTTCATTTAGAATTTACCCGTAGATCAACTAATATATACGGAACAATGAATATTATATATCTAACATAAAAAAAGTATCGATCGAATATTATCCTCAAGTATAATTTTCCACTCAACAAATCGCTACAACAATCACACGTAGTATTTAACGTAAATGCATCAAATTATTCCGTACCAGAGTAATGTAAATTGGATTTATCTACACACACATCATAAACCCTCTATGATGTGTTCAAAAACCGCAAATTACGAACAGCATTAAGATAAATTGTTTTGTTAAAACAAATTTCTTCTTATAGAGCTTATAATATGTGTATAGATAAAGCTGTGTAATATGTAACTGTACATAATTAGGCATTAAAACACTCGTGTGACAAACTGACACTCGTATTTTGCCTTTCATTATTAAATAATTTAATAGTCACATAAACTACTATTATTTATTAGAAACACTAACATTATGTTCACGACACATTTTTATCTTATTCGACTTGACTGTTCTAGATTGTAAACAATAAATTATAAGTGTTGGCGGCAATCTCAATACAACAGTCACAAACTAAATTACATTTTTTTACAAATTGCCATACATAAATAATTAAAATTAGATAGCAATAGAATAGGTGAGAAATGCTATATTAAGGAGTTTAATTATGTTATTTTACCGCTATGTGCCATTTAAATTTGTTTTACTCAAAATTTCCAGGTACAATCCTCGCTTCGTACATCGCGTTCGGCGCAGAACCAGCTCACCTGGTTACAGCCAGCGTCATGTCCGCCCCAGCTGCAATTTGCATGTCCAAATTGCTAATGCCTGAGACCAAGCGGTCGCTCACCACAGTTGAGAACATAAAACCTGTAGAATGGTGAGACTATAGAACATAAGAGTTTGTGGAGTTACCGTTTGCCATGTTTTATTGAAAACGGTTAACGAAAAGTGGGTGAAATGCATTGACTTACAATTATATGGACATCGGGTCCGCGCTAAAAAGTGTCCGAACTTATAGGGCGTTAAAATCGTATACAGAGCGTCATTCACGCTTTAGTCTTCGTTTGTTCGACTGACAGCGAAGCAAGCAAATTTAGACAGTACTGCGATGACATTACAATTTAAATTCAATGTTTATATTATAGAATATTCTTTTTGTTATCATTTTCACAACTAAAGACTTAGGTAATTAAGGTAGCAGTCAAGGCACGAAAGGAAACGGATTAATACAATTCACTTTCAATAATTTATTCCCTTTTCAGTAGATAGTATACATGAGAATTGTTAATAAATGACACAAGAAAAGGAGACAATTAGTACATACCTGTATAAATTAGATAACTTTTATATACGTTAACACACAGTATCCACAGTATTTCTTCTGGCTAGGAAATACGATCGCAGACTGAATAAACTTTCTTCTGCAACCACACCATCAACCTTCGCCCCACCGTTTTTTGGTGTGTTAAAATACTGTGATTTCATTGGTTAAGGCTTTTGGTAGGCCGATCCTTGATTGGTTGGCACTTCTTTTAAAAAGGAATTTAGATACTTTTAAATGTCATTATTGTTTAAATCAAATACAGAAATGATAGCAATTATGATTAAATCAATCGTAATTTTTTTTAAATATACTTAAGATTAAAAATCCTTTCAACTATAATTACTAATATAATAATAAATAATTCGACAATAATCGATACAAGTACTAATTAAATGCGTTACGCTAACATTTTAAAATTGTTCAAGATTTCTGCCGTCCGCGGCAGGCATTAAACCGTGACTAAATATTTTTTTGAGATACTTATCATAAAAAACCATAACTCAGTTTAATGATATTTTAGCTATGCATCGTTAGCGTAGGTCAAAAGCGTAACTTTTAACGTAGGTTTTAAAAGAGAATTTTGTGTTCTATTTAAAACGGATATTTGACCTTTTCTTTTATTTACCCTGCCGTCGCTTGTTGTACTTAGCAAAATTACCACGTTCTATTTTTAAAAAAACCATCAAGTTTATAACCGGAAATAGAAACGAAATGTCATTTAATTTGTTTGAAAACTATTCTGCCAAATCATTACGGTGACAACTGCGCTGCCAGCCTGAATTCGAAACAATTGACGGGTGTCGTCAATTGTTTTACTTCAAATCGACCAGTTTAAATTGAGCTCTGCTACAATGACGGAAAATTGAAAAATTACATATTTAATATTTAATTACCGATTAAATGTGATTCCGTTTCTGTTGTAATTAGATGTTTTGCTGTTTTTCCTATACCACCGAATGGAACAGACCTCCGTTGTTAGATATATTATCTTTATTACAATAAATACATAATGTTTTTGGAATATACGGAGACGTACCTATACGTACACAGGGCAGTTGTTGGCGCTGTACTACTTCAGCTTTCTAATTTGTGATTTCAGTGCAAACGACAGTTGATATTTAACAGTGATATAGTGAGCCCATTTGCCTGATGTGTTGCCAGGGATGGATGGCCTTATTTCGTCTCTTTTTCTGGTCATATACTCGTTGTTTGAAACTCATTATTGGGTTTACGCTGTTAGCATTTCAACCGCATAATAAGGTCTTAAGTATAAAAAAGTTATCGATCAAAGACTTCAATCTACTGGTCAAAAAACTATATATAGGTACGATAAGATCATTGCTAGTAGGTTTTTTAATAACATCAAGTGATGAGACGAACTTGCGCCTGGTGGTAAGCGACACGTCTGTCCATGACAGTTGCAGTGCCACTGAGAGTTTTAAGTCACAAAGATCTGAGCGGCACTGCCACTGTGCTCGTCACCCTGAGACATAAGTTGACAAGTCCCATATGCCTGTAACTTCACCAGCGCACTTACCCTTCAAAACCGGAGCCAGCAACGCAGTAATGGTCATATTACTGCTAGGCGGCACAATTAAGTAAAGTGGCAGTTTTTCCCTGGACGAACGCTTTCACAAGGAGGTCTATTGCTAGTAATACTAGCACATGGCCATCGTTGTTATCGACAGACTTCGTTGGTAGAATATTTGAACTCTGTCCTGAAAAGCTGTCATTTTGCAAATGTGGCCTTATTTCACCATTTTATGAATTATAAACCTGTCTATTCCAGTGAGGACCAATCAGTGCTGTCAGCGGCGACACGAGGCGCGACCAACGGCATTGCCCTCCTCCTGAACATAGTTGCCAACATAGTAGCGTTCGTGTCCTTCATCGCGTTCGTCAACGGGGTGTTGGGGTACTGCGGGGGTCTGCTTGGGTTCGCTGACCTCACTCTTGAATGGATTTTCGGGAAGATTTTTATACCACTGGCTTGGGTTATGGGTATGATGATTATTTTTAATTTTTACATCACCACCAACCAATTTATACATTATTCAATCAATCAATATATTTATTCGTCATCATCACACAGCTATGATGCACCTCTTGAGGCGTACGACAATTTATGTCCAATCTAATTGATTTCGGTCAACTAATTCTATATCGGCGCGATTATGTTTTGTATTTACATAATGTGCACATATGCATACAAAGCCATGTTGTGCTTTTCGCACCATTGCCAAATTTGTTTACTTAAATCGTTAAGGGGGTATTGGATCCCACCCTTGCGATTTATGCAACTGATCGCCGTATTATTGCGTACTCGCAACAATATAACACAATCAGATTATACTAATATCATATAAGAATACTGCAATTCTTAGCAATTGATATGGTGCTTCTTCTCAACAACCTTCCGTTGGCCTCCTGTGCTTCTCGCGCCACATACGGAATCCCAACCGGTGCGCGGTGCATCTATATAATGTATAATTTAAAACTTGAGGTTCTCATATACGATGAAGCCGAGTAAATATTGTCTGTCCACCAACTCAAGTCACTTAGAATTATATCTGGAAGATAAATTGTTGTTTCATAGTTACCGTCATGTTTTTGAAGACTTAGAAATTTTAGTGTTTCCAGTAAGTTTGTATATAACCAACCGTATTTAGTGGCTGGGCAAGCTGAGATGAGGACACCAATCAATTGAGCGTACTCCCGTATAGTACATCGGGGTAACCTCATTATTTTTTAAAGTAAATGGTAAATTTTTTGACGTTTATCTAAAGGTAAACTTATACTTAAATTTCATCAATCAAAATTGAATCATAAAAATTTACAAACTTGACATGGTGGTAACACAGACTTACCGTAATTAACGATGAAGCCTAAACATTGCAATAAGTTAATGGTCGCATTAACATTATTGATGCATCGTCATAATCAACTGCTATACAACAAATATCATCTAAATATACCACGGATTTAAATCCTTGTTGTCTCAAATGTATTACAACTTCTTTCATGATTTTGGTAAACACTTTCGATGCTGTGGACAAGCCGTATGCCAGAGCAGTAAATTCATAGGTTTTAATTTCATTCGAACCACAAGGTAAATTCTAAAATCTGTGGTACTTACGATCTGCTTCGCAGATAGATGTCAGTGAAACCCCTGCGAGGTATCAATATTGAGGCAATTCGATATTCCTCCATGTTAAAATGAGTATTTTGTTACAAATTTGTTAAAGGATGTTATGTTCAATATAGAGTACTACCGTTGCGTTTTGGGGCTAAAAAGTACTACAAATGTATTGATGTTTTCTAGGACAGCACTTTGTCACTGCTCCCAAGTCAATTAAATTTTTAATTGCGTTATGCACTTTTTTATTATCGTCTGGCGATAAACTAATGCCGGGTATTACAGACTGGTGTTCGTACCTGTTTACATAATGGTATTGTTGGCGAAGCCGCATATTGGTTTTGCAGCTGACTGTCACCTAAAACCATTAACGATCTTCTTTATAGACTTGCGCTACCTAGCTCGAAATTAAATATGCACAGCTCAGGACCATTTGTAATGGCAATTAAAATTTTCAATAAACTCCCCAATACAATTTCATCCAAATCGCAGACTAATTTATTTAATAAACAGCTTAGAGCACATTTGATTAAAAAATGTTATTATAGTTTAAAAGAGTTTTTTGAAGTATAATTAATTAATATAATACCTTTTCAATTACTGTTTTAATTACTAGTTTTACATTTTGTTAGTTATATAAGTTAGAAAAAATTGTTAACTTCTTATTATGTTTCATTTATGTTTTATTTTTATTTTCTTATTATACTTTTAATTGCGGCGCAAATAAACAGGGTCATGTTGACACTATATATAAATTTTAAGACCTATGTAACACATGGAAGCAATAAATACTTTACTTTACTTAAAATTGCATTAGATAGGTAATTGAGTTTTAACTACGTCATGTTTCGTTAACACTTATTAATTGTACGTATGTGAGATTTAAATTGAAATAGCTCGCAGTTGATTTCTTATTGCAGTTAACTCATGGTTAACCCCAACTTAATTTTATTTTAAACATAGTTTTCTTAGAATAATATAATTATTAAAATCGGCTCGTAGTCGATGTCATAATCGCGGTAAACCCACGGTTAACCCTGACGTAAATTTATTTAAAATTAACTTTACTTATTATCACGTATGTACTAGTATTGTTCAAATTAAAATCGATTCGCAGTCGATTTTATTATCGTGGTTAACTCGCAGTTAACCCCGACGCAATTTTATTTAAAAAAGTGTTTGCTTATTAGCATGTAAGAACTAATATTGTTCAAATTAAAATCGACTGGCAGTCGATTACATTATTGTGGTTAACTCGCAGTTAACCCCGAGGCAGTTTTAATATAAATCATGTAAAATGCACATATTAGTATATTCAGATTTTCATCCACCCATATTCGATTTGGTTATCGGGGATAACTCGCAGTTAACCCGATGTTTTATTAAATGTAGGTTAGATTCACATTTGCGATGAATGAAAGCGAACATTTATTATCATCGCGGAAGTATTAAGTAGTGGTATATGATAAAAATGAATATTTTAATTTTTTATTTTCATTATTTATAAGGGTAAGAAAAAATCTTACCTTGATCAATGTCCGACACGTCTGATGATATTATGATCCTATAACGCCGACGACGTTCGGTATCTGTATTTTCCAAGTATTTCAGTACTTTTACAATATTCGATTTTTTCTAAGTTTGTTCGCGTTGACATTTTAACGGAGCTGTGGAAGTGTGCTTGTTGCCACGCACGAAAAAGGAATGAGGATAGAAAATGGCTAATGGTTAATGCCTGGTAAGGAGCGTCAACGTCAAAATTTTTTTTTTCTCTAAAAACCGTTGCCTAGCAAGTTAAGGAAACTACCTGGTTAAATATTATATCGAGAATGAAGCAACGAAATATAATCTTAATATATTTCTGGAATCTT